CTCCGCGCAGAGTTCACGGTGGCGTGTAATAAGCGGTGGCGTGTAATAAGCGGTGGCGTGTAATAAGCGGTGGCGTGTAATAAGCGTTGGCGGGTAATAAGCGGTGGCGTGTGCGCTCGGCTGGAGTTTCTATAGAGACGGACCCAGAAACCCGCCAGACTCGGCAGATGATTGGCGTAACGTACTTCCGACAGTAAAACATCATGAGAGAGAGAGAGAGAGAGAGGACTCTGACATGCCGAAACCGCCGCCGCCGTTTGTGTCTCTCTCTGTGGATTTCACTGCTCAGCTGTCTGAACGCCATGCATGAGTCCAGTGAAGTCTCATGTTTATTCATTTCATATGATCAAGACGTTGTATGGAATACATCTGCAGTGACTGCTGGCGCTACCACTAACGAAGAAATACAAAGATAAATCAAATCAAATCAAATGACTAACCTCGCCTATGGCTGCTCTGCAGTCTCTAATGACTGAATGTAAATGTTATGTAAGTGAGTGTAATTGGAAAGTGAGTACCGACTCCGAGATTATATATTTCAGCAGGAAGATGAATGTTTTCCCTCCTCAGTGAAATGATGAAGCCGCACAGCGCCAGCCCTTGTTCCTGATGAATCAATATGCTCTCGATATTTTCTAAACTTCTAAATATAATATTGCGTCGTTCATAGCAACTGCACTGCTCTCGTGATGCGATCTGGGATATATTACTCACTGTGCTATTTATTACATTCAACTGTTTAGCAGATGCGTTTATCGAGTGAATTCATGTCGGGTATGGCGTCTTGCGCAACGATGCCTACAGGTAGACTGTGTGTGAACAGGGGGGATCGAACCCACAACCTTTCGGCCGGGAGTCGAACATCCTAACCCCCTGAAAAATTACAATTTTACTCACAACTGTAATATGTCATTTGATTAAAATGGTGATTTGTCTTTGTCATGAATCAAAATAAACCCAATGTGTCTGTTTCAGCGCCACGGCCGCAGTTCCATGTACCACAACTGGGGGCGCCCTCTCCCTCCGCAGTCTGCATGGAGCCGCAGGTAGACCCAACACGCTCCAGACGCAGATTGTGGTCATCACCCTAATAAAGAGATAAAGGCCTCCATAAATGAGCTAAATGAAGACATGGGACCTTTGACAATTACTTTCATAATTGGATTGAACCAGCGCTTATTATTTTTTAAATGTTGAGTCACTTGAGGCAGTGCTTGAATCAGAAGCGACTCGCGGCAAATCTTTTTTGTAGATGCACAAAAGGTAGCGGTCAGGACGTCTTGGTCAGGGGTGCCGACAGGTAGGCTTTGGGGTTCGAACCCAGAACCTTCCTGCTGGGAGTCGAACACCCCGAACACGAGATCCAGCCCCGTCTTCGTGCTCGTGTGAATGGTTTATGAATATCCACTTCTCCTTCCTGTTCTTTGATCTGGAGCCACATCCGTCCCATTAGTCTCTCTAATTGGTCGCGCTAACTGGGGTCTTTGTTTCCCCCAGGTCCAGCTGGAACAGCCTGAGCCGGAGGAGCGGCGCCCCCCTAGTGGGCGGCAGCCTCCGCGTCCGCAGCACCCGCTCCCCCTACTCCTCCCCCTACTCCGCCGAGCACGAGTCCCTGCTCTTCCACTCCAGGCCCGCCATCCACCCCCCGCTGCCCCTGCCGCCGCCGCCGCTGCCCCTTCCGTCCAGGCGCTACGCCTGGGCTCGCAGGGACCGCCGGGCCCTGTCCCTGGAGCTCCCCGAGCTGCTGCGGGTCCCGGGATCCCAGGTCCCTCCTTCCTCCGCCATCCCACCTCCACAGCCTCCTCCTCCTCATCCTCATCCTCACCAAGACCCCCTGAGGAGGAGCTTGGGGTCCGGGACGGCGGAGTCCGGCAGCGTGGGTGGGGGGGCGGAGCACCGGGACTGTAACGGCAAGACCTCCCACCCCCACCTGCCCCACCACCACGCCCAGATCCTGGCCGAGGTCTTCCCCCAGCTCAAGGCCCGCAAGGACCGCTCCGATCTGGATGAGGAGATCGACTACGTGAGTAGGAGGAGGGAGGGCGCCCTTCCTTCAGACCCCTCCAGGGCCCTTTAGATCCCTTCAGACCCCTTCAGACCCCTCCAGGGCCCTTTAGATCCCTTCAGACCCCTCCAGGGCCCTTTAGATCCCTTCAGATCCCTTCAGACCCCTTCAGGGCCGTTCAAACCCCTTCAGACCCCTTCAGGGCCCTTCACACTGGCCAGGGCTCCTCATCAGTGACGGTTGTTTACGGAGAGACTGTTTGGGGGCTATTTTAGAGTTGATAATAGTGTCAAATAGACATATTAACATATTAACATACTACATACTATTTCCTGTCATGCCTATGTCGCATCACAGCCATGCCAATATCAATGCTATTGCACAACCTCAGTTGTACTCTGACCGAGCAACCTGATTGGTCAACTAGACCTTTGCAACATAATCAAATGAGCATGACAGCGCAACTATCGGTGCTCAAATAAAAAATGCCTCATC